ACTTTTAACTGAAATCATAATAATATTTGTTGGATCTTACTGTTTCATCCTTATGTGAGGAAAATTACTGTTACCTACTGACTGAATCGTGGGCCGAATTTCTTCAAACCAGTGCATTTCTGTGGGACAGCTTCATGGGATATCAAAAATTACAAGCATATTCACTATCATCAGGAGCTGATATATTCACCATCATACTTCTATAACTCCACTCTTCAAGCAAAAGGATCCTACAGACCACAAATGGTGATACCAGGAGTGAAGTTTTTCAACAGTGAACAGCCTTCTGTGAACATATTGAAAACCATCCCTGAACAATGTGTTAACCTATTCGACTATTTTGTGTTAAATATTATAGCCATCAGAATCATGTGCAATTGATCCATACAATAGAAATCAGCAGCAACCAGCTCTAATGAGTCTAAACCAAGAAATAATTCAACACCAAAGGCATCCTGACCATACTGTGGATTTAATAGTAGATACAACAATATTACTTCCAGGCTTTGAGGAAAACATTGATCAAATGACCTAGGATTTCAGTTAATGTATTTACACAGTATATTATCATAAATTTTGTGATTTGATATCATTTTGTAATCCTAAATTCATCTAATTGAAAATATCTATCTTATCAATCTGTAAAGTTCATTATGTTTTGTATATTTTGGAACTGAATCAATGTTAGAAAATGAAAGTACATTGACATAACATGTGTTTTACTGTACTTATATGCCACTCCAAAGAAGTCCAGAAAGAAGTACCTACAAATAGAAGGATAGTACAGTATATACTCCTTCCCTCAGTGCTCATGTATACTGTTTTCCCCTGAATTATTTTACAAGATACCTTCATAAAAATTTACAATTATGAATGAATTTGAAATCCAGGACTTTTATGTATGTAGAAATAAATTAACAATGAGCAAAAGTAAGTATCTTTCTGGTAGGTACCTATTTTAAAAGGAATCAGTAAAGATTATAAAGTGAAACTTTGAAATTGCATCAAAAAAGAATGAGGTGTTGATTGAGGTAGTTGTGGAATTGAAATATGAATTTTGAAAACCTACAATAAAACATTACGAAACAGAAAAAAAAGTAGAACGTTTACTTATGAATAAATACAGTTTAATAATAACATACAAGCAGTAAAATTATGAATACATTTTTCCAAGATACAATTTGAAATGTCATGGATATGTTCAAGTACCCAAATAATCAGTGATATATCCTTAAAAACTTGAATTCAACTTCAAGGAATCTGGGTTTTGGTTTCAATTTGTGTAACTAATTGCACTCAATTGCGAGATACCCTGGATGGCAACTCCTCCCCTGCTGAAAAATTGAAGAAATATTAGTACCTACTATAAACAAACCATATCTATTAGCTATTACACAATCTGAATATTCAAATAGAAATAGATTGTGTCACTTCAATGTATGTTCAGATTCAATTCAAGGTATGAAGTAAGCTACCTACAATGACCTGCTTGTACCAGAGTTATTATATATCTATAAAATATGCTACTGTTTTTGCTCATATGAATGTAATTGATAGCTGTATTTTAACTTAATCATTTTGGAAGTACATGCAATCTGCATTGGCTATTTGACTACAAAGATGATACTACAAAATAGGAATCTATGGAGGCCTAGGCAGGATGTCATGAACAAGATTTTTATATGAGTCAAGCATTACAAATAAAACCATAAATTACCCACCTGCACATGTTCATAATGTCTATTTTCTTGCCCAGCTTTGTGTATTGCAGTTCAAAAGTCAAAGGCATTGAATTTGCTTCTTCATTTATCTTATAAAAATATTTGAAAGAAAAACAACCATACTTATTTTTCCAAGTCCTGGAGACATTTCCCCATAAACAAAATAGGTATGAACTGTTGATCATTTCAATCATGTTCTCTCTCAGATAGGCACTGCAAATAAGAGTTATTCATCAGTAATAAATATATCAATGATTCACAAATTTACCTTATTGTTATCATTATTGGACCAATGAATTGAAGAAAGGTAGGAAGTTTCTGTTGGAGCTGCATACATCCAGTTTTCAAACTCATATTGGATTCTCAACGTTTATCCATTTTTTCCATTCAACTGAACTGATTTTTCATTATCAGAAAAGACTTCTTGAGTGCAGGAAATTCATATTAGAGGACATATTATAGGTCCTACATTTATCCATTGGAAATTGGAACCTTCTACTAGTTCAACCAGCAACCAAACACAGTTGATTTCGCGTATTATCAGAGATTTGTTGATACTAATTTATGAAAAAATATAGAATTGATTAGGCAATTGATATAAAGTTCATGTCTTGTACTCAAGAGACGCAAGAAGAGAAAATTGAGTAATTTGTTGAATGGTATTCATAAAATATGAAACCCACTGAACACAATAACAAACATGACCTTGAATTACGTCCTAAACTGGTTCAAATTTGCCCACCAGGTGCCGTATCGGAATCGTCACCTTGCCAATTGCCAGGGAGACGACGAATTGTCAGTAGACATGTCATGCAACACGATCAGTCAATAAAGTTCTTCGAATAAAGAAAAAAAAATGCCGTGAATCTAGAACAGATCCATATATAGGCTTACTGCAATATAGAAATTCTTCATTGAGCTGTGGATTTTCTCCTGATCAACTACTCATGTCGTCGATGTCTCGATGTCTCATCAGAATAAAGCTCCCTGTCAGGGGCGAAAGTCGTTGATTTTGATGAATGTAGTAGTAAAGTTGAGAGTAATATTAACAAAATGAAATCTCATTACGATCAAGATACGAAATAACTCCCATTATTGAGAGAAAATGATGAAGTGATGTATAGGAAGATGCCATCACCCCCATGGTTGCCTGCAACTGTTGATGAAGGACAGCGTCCTAGGTCATATATCATCAAAACACCTGATGGGGCCGAATTGTAGAAATCGACAACATCTGATGGAATCTAAGGCAACTGTTGGAACTTATACTGAACCAAATGATCATTTTGTTAGTAAGAATACAAGACAATCTGACTTAGAGTCATGATGTGTGAATGATGCGAATGTTATGATAATGACAATAGGTATCAAGACTTTGGATATATCTGGTATTCGTCATGTATTGCTAGAAAAACAAGTAATTGTCAGTAGACATTACATGCATGTAACACGATCAGTAAATGATGTTCTTCAATTCATATTTCATTATTATTAATATCACTATAAGCACTCTTGAAAAGTGCTCCGGAATCTAGAGCCCTTTGCACTTCCATTGACAAAATACTCGCGATAACTAAGCACTTTCAAAAAGTAATTCGACATAGCGAGCACGAAGCACTAAGCACTTTTGGAAAGAATGATAGGTTCTGTTTTACAGGAGGTTTTACACTTCTTGACATTGTTTATGTTTCACCTTCAGTTTTCAATGCAGCTATAAAATATCATTCGTAACTACACTGAGACCTGAAGTTAGCACTATCAGTAGTTATGCCTCGTATGCGATCAAGAGAGATAAGCAGTGAGTATTGAATTGAAAGGCTAAAATCCCATCTCAGTTGCTCGGGAGCACTTCTCGAGATTACTATATGAACTAAGATTTTTCATAAAATGCTTGAAGCGCACTGAAAACCAGGCACTGGTTTGAAAAAGTGCTCAGGAGCACAGTGCTTACGAGAACAAAGCTGCTCTAAGTGCTTTAACGAGCACCAAGCACAATGCTTTGGATCAGCTCTGGAAGGTACGTACTCAAAACCCGATCGATTTCAACTGTGTATTCTGCAAACGTATGACGTTTGCTTGAATCTCCCCACAGAAATGGAGTCGAACCATTTCTGCGATTGGATGATTTTCAATGAGCTCATTCCAGCTTCATCGCTCTCATCATGTGCCGGATATTAGACTGATTTGTTCAATTGATTTTTTGTCATTGGCGGTTTCAACGCCTACTCACGATGGAAATTGCGTTCGAGTTAGACGATGTCGGTAGGTACAGGAATTAATTCCCGTTTTGTGGAAAATCGGTGATCTGATTACCGCTTGTTTGCCCATGGAAAGGGCGGATTGATGCCAGGTCAAGGAGAGATGTCTGAAAATAGGGTCGTTCAGAAATTTCGCACCAAATTAGAACTCACACTGGAAAAAAAGGTGAAATTCCACTCAAGGTCCATCTCTCAATAATATCTCAATAGAGTTGAAAATTCACGCTACTAGACTGTCGAAGATGGTAATTCATGGGCAAATTCGATCAAATTTCTTGTCAACATTTTAATCATTGAGAAGAATTGATGAAACATCTAGTTCCAGTTGCAAATTCACTCAAGCTTTCAATTAGTTGATTAACTCACAACCAACCACATATTATGTATATGCAGTCACCGAGGCAGTCACTCAAAGAAATTCTCTACTGTGCAATAAGCTTTTCAGACACAGGCCTAAGAGCTCAAGGAACTATCATCTACAGGGAGAGTTATGGTCACAGAACAGGTGTTTTATTGATATCCTGAAAACAGTCGAGACTATTTGAATGACTTTTTTTGGTTTATTGACACAAATAAGATTTGATTCGTGAATTGACTATTAGAAACCTTCCTCGCTCTAGTACGGATTGTCCACTGCGCCTATCTCGCGTCTTAGATTCTGAATCAAGTAGGAGAAGAAAAATCTCAGTGATAGTCGACACTCTATTTTCTACCTCTATAACACAAAATTGCTCTTGTTGTATGTATGTCTTCAATTTCATTTTGTTATCTGATAACACAATAATGAATTCACAATGAATGTCATTTCCCATGGAATGTCAAATTTCAAGCATGATAGCCCTTTCTATTAGAGCACTTCTCAAAAGGAAATCAGATAGCTACAAATCGTAGAGTTAAAAAATATCGCTATTATCTGATGCAACCGTAGACAAAGTATTTGTATGATTTTCTTCTAGTGGGAAATTACTTTCATTCCTCAAATAATTCAAGATGCATAGTTCCTATTGATATATGCAGTGAAAATATATAACAATGTGTTTCATAACATTTATTCATGCAATTTATATACAAGAATCGAAAAAGATGTGACAACATCCTATTTTTGTGGATATGTGGGTCAAGAGATCGGAGTATGTTATTCGCTTCAAAACATTCTTCTTCTCCTAACTATCCTGATTGTTGAATATGTCAGGGTAGGATAAAATGCTGAAAATAACTTCGTAATATTATTCGTCAGTATAACTGAAAGCACATAAAGATTCATTGAGAATGGGCAATTTCTCACTACAGATACAACAAAATTTGATGATTCAGCCTTTCAGGCCTTATGAAAATGTTGCTGGTTCAGGAGATACAGGATGTTCAAGGAGAAGATTTTCAATAACTTTCCAAGGTTCAACAACATGACCATACAAATTCGTATTTTTAAGTTTTCTGACATGAGAAATAGGAATTTGTGATTTGTTTTGTGATTATCCATAGCACTAGTGGCATTCTGTTACTTCAGTAATTCACATCATATCTGCTTTGTCCATTGAATAATGATTGAAATGACTTGAAAATCTGAAATTTCACATAAAACGTCCACTCTCAAATTTTCTAGCTATATTGGTTTGAAAGTTATTCACACGTGAAATGATCTGTGTTTCAGTTTTGATAGTTATTTATACATCAACGTACTACCAAGGGGTATATTAAATTCGTTTCACCATTGCCAATGAAATTTTTCCTAGGTTTTTGATTTTATTTTTTGCTCTCAATAAGTATTGCTGGGGTTGAAATATCGATTTCTTGACTTTTTATTGACTCCTTAACAATGTCCATGATTATCTTTTAGGTACTCCCGAATACATCATTTTTGTGTCTCATGATGGCCTGTGGCCGAAATAGTTACACTACTTAATAAAAAATATTTCCGTGGTCGACAGAATTTGTGACTTTCATTGCTTTTTCTTTCCAAAATCAATTGAACCACTTCGATAAATATGTTATTGTTAAATATCTACTATAGATCGAGAGTCATTCCTGCGAATCTCGTATGATAAAAGTGACTACGGGTAATTATATCGCCTTTATTGACTAATGGTTCATAAAATGACGAAAACTAACTTGGTAGTTAAAACAAGCTTTACGCCTTGAGAATGTGTAAATAATGATAGGTTCTAGAGATAGTGGTGGACAAGATGTTTCATCAGTTTCACCTATTATAGAGTTGGCGAAATGACACTGGACTAACAATACCATCAGAAAACATAATTTGGAATGGAAATGGTCGATCGAAGTTACTGAGAAATTATGAAATAAATGTTCTCTAGTGAGGAAATGAGCTATAGTGAAATGAATACTCACTACAGGATCTCCATGGTACATGCACTTCAGCATATCCCATACCTTATCTTCAAATGGATGATCAGCCACTGAAAGTGTATTTTATACATTGTGAAAAATAGTGATAATACATATACCAAGGTATAAAAGACATTATACAGGCTGTTATCCAGGTATGTGTGGTCATACTTCAAGAGACGGAAAGTTGATATGAACATAGGCTTTTTGGTTTTACAGATACAGGGTGTCAAACTTTTTTTGAGAGAGTTTGTTCCTGAATCAATATTTTTACTACTAGCACATCTTTCTCTGATACAATGGTTTTCCAGACCCCAAATCTTTATAAGGTTCTCATGAATAACTGTAATACGTTCAGAGCTGTAGGAAGTGTGATATTTTAGATGCAAAAAAAAAATTCAGATCATTTAGGAAGGATGAATACTGTCACTTGTTTTCAATATTGAGTAGTAGAAGTGTAAGTAGATTTACGCCCACTTCTATAAACAAATTATGTGGTGTAGGTGACAAATTTGCTAACAAATCAGAAGACTTCTTCGATTATTTCAATATTCGACATAATAATAGTTGATTCCCGTAGTATACTCACATTTTTCTCTTGCTTTATCTGAGCACTCAATAATCATCTCAACACCATTGCCTTCCTTGAGTACTTTTGGTATGAAGGCATTGAGTAGAGCTTTATTCATGTGTAGGGATTTATCCGTCTGAAAGAATATCATGTGAAAATATCAACCTGAGGCACATCGGACGTGATGAATAGAAAAAAAAATTGAAATAGAAGAAGAATTAACATATTGTGAGAAATTAATTGGGAATAGAGAAACTGGCCAGAGAATCTCAAGAGGTTTGTGATTCCACAGGTTTGTGACTCCACAGTCATTCATGATCACATTCCCTTTGGGAAGCATTAGGTATATAAAATTCAAAAGGGGTTATGTTATCTATAAAGAGGCCTACAACCTGAAACTCGTTTTTGAAGAAGATCAGTACGTAGTAATTTAAGTGATCTATTGAGTATTCAGTACGTGTAACGTGTAACTAACTTATATGACGTGTACCTTCAATGTATACTTACGAATCCGGATTTCGTGAACAAGCATGTGACGTATTTCTGAAAAATAAAAACTTAAGGTTACTCAGAGTAAAATTACTCATACGAATCAGTGTAGAGTAGGAATAGGATTTGAAGAAACGGAATCAGGCTGTCGAAAATGAAGGAATAATTAAATAATGGATCTTCTGAAGTAGTTCATGTTCGAAGTGAAACGGAACAACCAACCTCATCATACTTATTCGCCATTTTGTCAGAAATTGAAATAAAAATGAATTGTGTTTTTCAAATAATTGGGTTACTATTTACTCCAATCTCCTAATAACCTCGTAGATACTATAATACTTTTGTTGTCATCAGATTCTTCATGTTTTTCAGTAACACATGTTCCAAATTTTCCTAGTACATTTTCTCGTCACTTTTCACTTTAATGTTGATCTTCATCTAGATGTAGAGTGCATTTTTCTCTGTAGATTCACTTTGTGTACTGATACTGGACTGGAAACATGTCTCAAATCTTTTTGAAGCAGGATACACTGCATATTCGTCAATACATTTCGCGTTGACGACGATGGTGTATATAAATTCTAACTCAGGAAAATTTTCACTTAGCATATCACAAGAACTCTAAATATTTCCGGAAATTCCTGGATATTTATTGAAGCTAAAGTGATATTCGGTGAGAAAATTTCACACTGAAATATTATATTCCAAGTATGCCTACATAATATCATATGATAAACTGTTGATGAATGATTTTTATTTATAGACTCTCAGAATTAACTCGAAATAATCTGGACTTGAATGTGAATGTAATTTAACCTATAAACGTCAAAAAAATTCCAGTGTAATTTCATCCTCCGTGCCCCAAGGAGGAGGAAAACATTTACAAGAAATTTGTTTAGTTGCTATGGTAACGATACGAAATACAGGATGTTTGGTGTGAAATTTTCTTGATAATTGAAGAACATGAGAGTATATCTAAGTGACCCACCACATTGCTGACCAACTTACTTTCATCTCTGTATCATTGTCATCAAAGTTTCCCATTCTTGCATTCTCACGTTCTGTCTCGCTGATTGGGAATGAATCTAGACAATGTTTTCGTACTTTGCTGATCAAATGGAAGAATGCGGGAGGAAATTCCTAAAAAAAAGGTTCATCAGAATAATATTCCACCAGAAGAATGTTCAATAGTTATTTTTCTACTCATATAACTAAAATGGCATTTAGCGTACGGATATGTACCACGCTAAATGATCGATTAATCACGGATTGACGATCTGTGATTTATTCGAAATATCAAACACGTTACCATGGCAACACGATTCCTTAAACACATTACCATGGCAACACAGTTCATTAAACACAGCTTCAGTAATTTGAAACATGTTTGGTCTGTCAATTGTATTAACTGTCAACTGTTATTTTAAAATTTTGTATCAGAATTATTCAAACAATATTCGTTTGTATCAGAATTCTTCATTCAAAATATATGCGAAATGTAGACGAAAGTGAAATCGAAGATAATGTGCTGGTACTTGCCTATCTCCAAGAAGTGTAAAAATGAAGCGTCCAAATTCTTTATTCTGCGCTATGCATGACAGTAAACGTGAAACAAAGGTTAGTAAGCAATGGACTGGACACATCTACAACCAATATCACCTATACGTGTCTCGCTGGTTGCATGCAGTTGCATGTATTATGTTCTCAATTCCCATTCCTTTCGAATTATTTTGTAAGTTAGCAGGAATAGCAGGTATGTTTATGTAATTTTCGGAGTTCGTAGAAAAAGCATAGTATGTAACGCGTTCATAAACTCTTCTAGACACTCGTTTATTAAACACTCGCTTCGCTGTGCTCCGCTCGTGCTTAAAATACTCGTTACTAAAAGGACGTTTATAACACTTGTTACATAATATACTATTATATATCAAGGTAGTGAAGAATATCCTTATCACCCAGGGACCAAGATTATATCCCGAGGCTTCAGCTAAGGGCTATTAGGTCCCGTGGTAATAATATTCCTTACTGTCAAGGTGTGTATTGAATTTTTTCCACCGATAGCGTTCTTTGGGAATGTGTTTATGAATATGTCCTATAAATATGAACAAGCATCACTTACTTCTTCCGCTAGATGAGCATCAATCGAGATAGTTCCAATAACTATAAGCAGAACACACAGAGTCTTCATTATTAGCATATGGCTAGTAGATATTCTGGAATAAAGAAAATATTTCAAAGTAATCGAAAACAATTCAGTCTCAAATGTTGTATTGTTTTCTGGAGAGCTTCACGTTCACAATACACTATAGTTCCGTACTGCCAGTTCAGTAGAATGTTTTGAATCTTTTCCACCAATAGCTATAGAACCTACCATGAGTAATATCCTTTTTACCAACTTTGACTGAGCTTAACCAAGATTCTCAGTGCAGCTCAATAGCTCAGTTGTACTAGATGTTTCATTTATCTTAGTCTGACGTGAGTTATCTTGAGAACTTATTGAGACTATTTCTTTCCCCTCACCCCAACTGAGCATGCTATTCATCTGGTGTTGTAGTGAGAAAAAGGTGAGACTGGATTAATTCTAGTAATACTGTGGTTCTGTGCTGAGAATTGTGAGGTTATATTTTCTTTTTGACATGCTTTCAGCTCTGAGGTTCCAGTCCACGGGTTGAATCTTTTGAATACTCACTGAAATAATATTTCTATGGTCCTAATTAATTTTCTTAGTCATTTTACATTTTGGTTGAATTCTGTTGGGTTATGTTTTCTTCCCTTGCCCTTTCTGACAGATAAAAACGTGTTCTTTTCATTCAATCGACACTTCAGATCCGTCTCACCTCATTCTAACTCAATTGATCTCAGTGTTTTCATTATGTTCTGGTTTCTACGAAAAGGGATGTCCTGTGATGTTCAGATAACATCGTGAGAACCAAGAGAAATAAGGTAGGAATTGGTGTTCTTCTTGAATTTCTGGAGATTATATGCCTCGATGAAAACCTCCCTCATCAATGTGTTCCAGAGCTTCGCTGTTCGTTGGATGGACTAGTCTTTGGAAAGAGATGTTCTGCAGGTCTCCAAACTGACCACGAAGGGGTGCGAAGCCTGAACTCTACGGGTTAATCTTGCGGAGACTGCCAAGGAAGGAACAATTGTTGATATTTCAGAAGAGCATCGTCCATGAAAATATCTATGAAATAGAGCCAAACCGACAATTTTTCTACGGTGTTCCAGAGAACTGAGTAAGCTTGTGAGCGAGGCATCACCCTCGAGACGAATTGCCCTTTTTTAGACAGACTCCAACAGTTTCAGAGTATGTTTGCGTGCTGCACTCCAAAAGTGGTACGGTATTCCAGGACAGGTCGGATCTGTGCCTTATAGATCATAATCAGCTGGAAGTGGAATAACTCCTGGTCCGAAACAGAAAACCAAGTTTTTGGGATGCACTTTTAGCAATTGATCTCACGTGATTTCCCCAAGCGAGGTTATTGCTGATAGTAATACCAAGCATCGAAATGGATGTCTTCGAAGGTATGGTTACTCCTGACAAGCTTATGTTGGGCACAGTGAAATCGACTTTTCTAGAGAAAAGGCATGCTTGCGTTTTCTTTGCATTGAAATCTACCAAGTTATTGGATCCCCATTCGAGAATTGTTGTCAAGTCCATATTTATGTTGTCAACTTTTCTACCTCGTTCGTTTCTGATTTGCCTGGATGGTATTGGAGCCCTAGAAGAGAAGACGGTATGGAGGATACTATTATCCGCGAAGCTGTGTACTGGACATGAAGTTGTTTCCAACATATCGTTGATATGGAGTAGAAATAGTGTTGGTGCTAGATTTGATTCTTGCGGAACACCAGCGTTTATGATAAGAGAGCCAGATGAAAATCCGTCGACCACTACATGGAGAGAACTGTTTGTATGTCACTGCTCTATTGATGGAATATTTGATATATTCAATATTCATTGTCTCATCGTATCAGTTGAAAGCAAATGAGAATTTCTAGGTGTTCACTTCCACATTCCAGGAAACGAATCCACCAAATATTTTCATTCTCTGAGAATGAGGGATCTTCTTCTCTGTGGATGATCTTCTCAATACTAGTTATAGTCGCTTCAAGATACTCGAATCTTCAACCTTTTGTGATTTGAATAATGAATGTACAATTATAGCACATGTTAAATAACAAACCTCTGGTGAGATGACTATGCTGTATAACCTACTATCACTTATTATGACTGTTGAGAATACGCTATGACTATATTGACATACCTGTATAAGTTGCTAGTATTATTCGAACCACTCGCTTCAAAATTTAGCTGTTATGTATTTGCTCCGCTTTATAGTTATCGCTAGTTGAAAAAAAATTTTTAGAGACACATTAATGAGCATTTTATATTCCTAATGACTCATTTGATGAAGACTCGATAGTTCACCATTATTAATGGCTAATATATCACACCCATATTTCACTATGTGAATAATGATACCATTTTTTATTTTGAAAAAAGTATGTTTATTGTGAGATGGTACCTGTGAGAGGTACCTGTGAGCTTTAGTCATTATACCTATATATAGTTCAAGATAACAGGCCCTTAGTAAGAAATTGTTAATTGAATAAAATGCTGGTTTGCGTGGTTTCCTAGAAAATACGAAAGAATTTTGGAGGATTTTGAGTACAGTGACATTTTGGGGCAAAACTTCTGATTTATTGTATTTTATATATATACAATATTATATAGTATTGTCACGATAGGAGTGTTGTGTTCCCACCATGTCACGATATAGTAGGTGGTTTGACCATCCATATCGATTGATAAGGGGTAATGCTTGGCTTAATATTTTGCGAGAGGTAATATTTGAATAGGCACTAATAGTTTTGGGGTAACTGAAAGTACGAAACTACATTCAAACATAACAATATATATTATAGAATGAAACATTATGGGTGAAGTGATTATAAATATGAATAAACAACAATGAATATAAAGACCTAATAATAACTTACATTATAATAACCATTACGACGAGCTCTTGTCAAGTCAAGAGTAGCCCCAGACCAGACTAACTTTGGAACCCTCACATCTAATATTTATATACATCATTTTATTAGATTTGCACGTTTCTCATGAGAGTTCCTTGGTCAGTTTTCATAGTTCAATGTCAATTGATGATTTGAATAATTTTATGTTCATAAAACCCTCATGGTTACAAATTACTAATATACTGTATGTTCTACTCGTGACAGTATTCCAAAAATATATAGGTATACAGGGTTTCATCACTAATTGGGAACATCTAAAGTATGGAATCCAAAGCTAGAAATATGAAGATTCGACTAAAATCACCGAGATAAAATGTATCGCCTGTCTGAGTTACGGGGTCTTCTATTTGGAAATTTCAAAATTATTTTTGCCTCCAAGTAGGTACCTACTTTGAAACTAATCATTCGTTTCATTGTATTAATTGGCGGGAAGTGTACATACGATATACTCTACTGAATCAAGCGAAATAAACGTTTCTGGGTACTACCAGAGGCGTACGAGGAGCAATTGACTGCCCGATCCTTCCCTAATTCTACGGCACTGGCGGAACTACCATTTTATTACGTTTCTCAGATTCTCCAATACTCTCTACGTGAATATCATCCTCATTTTTCATAGCAATGAAGTCACTATTTTTTGGAGATATGAACAATTAAAACAGACAGGAACTGTTAAAGGGTGTTTCAAATTCTCGAACATAAAAAATGATGAAATATATCTTTGGATTTCCTTCTCCTGATTCAGTTTCATGATGAATCTCTCAACCCTAATCTCGCGACTAGAGCAGAATACGTTGATGCCAGGAACAACTGCAGCCAAACAATAGATGCTTCGAAAGAAACATACAATGCCAAGATAAGATCGAAACTCATAGATTGCCCCAATGGCTCCCGTTCGTTTTGGTCCCTTGCTAAAGCGGTCGGAAGAAATTTCACTAATAGTTCATTTCCACCACTGTCCAAATCCGACGGCACATTAGCAACAACATCGCAGGAGAAAGCGAATATTTTTGCAGAGATGTTCGCAGCAAACTCTACTTTAGATTCCCAAGGAAAACTGCCGCCAGACATTCCACCCGTTGAGAGTCGAATGCCCGAAATCGTCTTCCATCAACGCACTATCAGACAAATTTTGCTTGGTCTCAAAACGAACAAGGCTAACGGTCCTGATGGAATTCCACCCATTATCCTCAAAAAATGTGCACCAGAATTAACACCGATTCTCTGCAAGTTGTTTACCATCTCGTACAGGTCGGGTATTTTTCCATCATGCTGGAAGACAGCTAGAGTCCAACCAATCCCCAAAAAAGGGAACAAGAACCTGCCCAACAACTACAGGCCCATAGCCCTGTTATCAGTGATCTCCAAAGTGATGGAGAAAGCCATCAATATTGAGCTTATCAAATATCTGGAGAGCTCAGGAATCATCAATGATAGACAATACGGCTTTCGCCACCGAAGATCTACTGGAGATCTACTTGCCTACGTCACCCATTTATGGCAATCTTCAATAGAAAAACACGGGGAATCTCTAGCTGTCGCGTTGGACATATCGAAAGCATTCGACCGTGTTTGGCACGAAGGACTCCTCCACAAACTACCATCATACGGCTTACCACCTCAGCTATGCCATCTCCTATCGAGTTTTCTTTCAGGCAGATCGCTTCACGTGGTGGTGGACGGTGTATCGTCTGATACCATTGGCATCAATTCCGGTGTTCCACAAGGATCAATTTTGGCACCAACATTATTCCTGCTTCATATCAATGATCTGTTGGGAGTAACAACTTGCCCCATCCACAGCTTTGCAGATGATAGTACCCTCCATACTGCGTTCTCCTCCAGAATTCCCATTTCTTCCCAGGAAACTAAGAACTCACGGCGCAGGCAGGTCAATGCTGTCAATGAAGATCTTGCTGAAATCACAGCCTGGGGAACGAACAACCTAGTTGAATTCAACGCCACCAAAACTCAAGCCTGCATTTTCTCTAGAAAGGCGGAACTCAGTATGCCCGATATTGTAATGTCTGGCTCCACCATCCCCACCAAGCCCACCATATCTATGCTCGGTATTTCCATCAGCAACACTCTTTCATGGGATAATCATGTTAGATCCATCGCAAAAGCTGCTTCACAAAAACTCGGATTCTTGTTCCGTGCGAAAAGCTACTTTACACCTCAACAGCTTCTCATGATCTACAAAGCGCAGATACGGCCTGTTCTAGAATACTGTTCCCACATATGGGGTTCAGCACCAAAACATACGCTGATGCTCTTAGATTCCATCCAGAGAAGAGCCATTCGCCTGGTGGGTGACGCCACACTCACTCACTCTTTGACATCATTGGAACACCGTAGAAAGGTCGGCGACCTTTCACTTTTCTATCGATACTTCCACGGGAAATGTTCTTCGGAAATCTCTGCAATCATCCCTTCACTAGCAATACCAATCAGACGAACTAGACAAGCCCAGTCAGCACATCCTTTCGTTGTCAACCTCGAAAGATGTCGAACAGCACTTTATCAAGACTCCTTCATCCATAGAACGGCTAGGCTCTGGAATTCATTGTCTGTGGAAGTATTCCCAACAACATATAATCTCCAAAAATTCAAAAAAAATTCCAATACCTACCTCCTGTCCCTATCCTCCCTAGGAACGCACGATGTTCTTTGAACATTATAGGGATTCCCTTTCGTGCGCTCCAATCGATAAAAAAAAAAAAAAAAAACCTTCTGAGTAATGTCATTGACTACAAACTGCAATCAATTATTTATATCTTCTCTTGCCTCGAAGTCCAAATAAAATCCCATGATTATCACGAATAAGGACGCTTCATTTCGTCGTCTGTTTCCACGACCTAATTCAAATAGTGACTCGATTTGAAGCTTAAAAATTACTGAAGTATAAAAAACTTCGGATGTCCGGATAGAGAGTTCGAGTTTTATCTAAACGAGATCATATTCTCTGAAAGTTGGAAGATTGTTCGACTTTCTCAATGTAAGTATGCTGATTGGACTGAGATTCCTCTGAGGCAAGGAGAATACGTGATGAAGACTCAGAAGAGTTCGAAAGCAAATTTTATATCATTTCAATTACAGAGATACGAAGAAATATCCTAAAAAAACACCTGAAATGTGTTTGTTTCAAAAGATCAACGTTTAAGTATATACATGTGGGTCATAATGCCCAGTGGGTTATAACGTCAAGTTTTGAATTTGCCGCTCACAAGGACAATAATATGTGACTGCGTGCATTTGTACAACTCATTTACATACGCAGCCATATTGTATTCGTAAGTGACAGTATGGCGGGAAATTTGAAACTGGGTGCAGGTACTTACACCAATTTGGTAAATATAATCTCAATTTTCAGGACATACATTGTATTCAGTTCATGTTGAAAATTTTGAAATATCATTTGCGACTAGCCAGATAATCAAAGTGGAATACAAATAGACAGAGACTCAAAGGCATTACAACATTTGTTCCTTGAATGAATAAAAATGGTAGATAACGGGAGAAGAACAACTTCTTTTCTCTCCATATGCTATACATCCTCCCGAAACCCATGCAATAATCCGTATAGACCAATAAAATCGCAAGTGTTTCCTTCCTGAAAGTGGTACAGGAACGTATGACTACCTGCAGACCGATTTCGATCTCTTGGCTCTCATCAGTGCAAAATTGTCCCAGATAGCATTCTTGACCACTATCTGGTGCGAACCTGACCCAAAGTGAACGCATCTCATCATTCATATTTCACGAGGCGTTCAACATCCGCTCATCAGAATATTGGCAAAGCAAAGACGGTGAAACTAGAAATGTTTGCCAAATTTCGTATCTTCGAAATGGAATCGACACCCACATGGAAGATTCAGAGTATTCTTAGGATTTTTTTTTCAAATTTCTGAGTTGAGTTCTAGAGGTCAGTCATATTATAACAATAATTTGTCGTCTCACTCAGTTAGTAAAACTTGCACTCTAATTAATGATCATTTCACACATTTTGTGGTAATTGATGATTTTCTAACGGATTGATGTTAAGTAATAAGGCGTGAGGATATTAACTTTTCTCTTTGGATACTTAAATTGCTTATACCCATCAATGGCGGTCCTAAGGTGCATCTCTAGGGTGAGTAGGTTAAATAATCATTTTTGTTATGTTCTTCAAACTGAATACCTCTTGAGAATTTGTCATAACTAACGTCAGTTCGAATGCTGCTTCATTATTGGTCAGATATGTAATCCTCATTCCCAGTTATAAATCAAGGTTGTCAGATCACCAATAATAAAAAAGTTATTTAAATGTTGTTAAAGTCCTATCATTGAATAAAACTCCCTCCAATTGGAATATTTCATA